GGCAAACGGATTCAAATATAAATAAGGAAGGAAGAGTCAATATTTTTAATTCTTTAAAAAAGTCCCGGCAATGAGTTCTGCTGTTTAGTCCCAGTGAATATCGAACAGCTCTCTTCTGGAGCTTGAAAATGCGGTCAAATTGAGTCGCACAACACGTACCCCAGAATGGAAGGGCATACCTGAGGTGCGACTCAAAAAGTGCATAATAAACAGTTCTAGCCACTGACAAGTTAAGCTCCTTAGAAACAGACCTTAATTCAAAACAGGCAGAGCTCAATTTTTTCGACAAAGCTTCGATATGTATGTCCCATTTCAGAGAATTGTCCACAACAAGCGCTAAGAATTTCACAGATTTTACGACGTCAATGGTGGTGTTGTTAAGTACAAAAGGCTGCAACGAGTTTTTATACGACAAAGCTTTAATTTTAGAAATGTTGAGACTCGACGAGACGGAGGTTCGAATCGCACCAAGATTTAATGGTGATTAAGTCATTTGATATAATCCTATGAAGTACCGTGATGTCCTTGTTGCTCCAAGTGAAGCTAGTGTCGTCCGCAAAAAGACATATTTTGCCACTGATGTTTATGTTAGCAATGTCGTTAATAAAAAGAAGAAACAAAACAGGGCCTAGTACTGAGCCTTGTGGTACTCCACATTCTATTGGCTTGCTAGAAGACAACGTGGTATCCACCCTCACAAGTTGACTTCTGATACGACTTAAACCATTCGAGAGATGATCCCCTGAACCCTTAGTGCTGCAGTTTATTAATTAGGATCTTATGATTTACACAATCGAACGCCTTAGAAAAATCACAGAAAATTGTTGCTGTAGAATGATGGTTGTTTAGGCTGGAGTAAACTTTATTAAGGAGGGAAAACATAGCGTCATTTGTGGACTTGTTGCTTAGAAATCCAAATTGATATTCACTAAGTATTTTAAGGAGGGAAAACATAGCGTCATTTGTGGACTTGTTGCTTAGAAATCCAAATTGATATTCACTAAGTATTTTGTACTTAAACAGAAAAGATACCAGCCTTCTTTTAACCAACCTTTCTATGATCTTAGATAGCGTTGGAATAAGTGCAATTGGGCGATAGTTAGAAGCTTCATCTTTGTCTCCTCCTTTATGCAGAGGAATGATTATTGCCGTCTTAAGACATTTTGGAAAAATACCATTTTGGAACGATATGTTTACTAAAGTTGTTAGGTGATTCAGAGTGCTTTCTGGCAGATTCGAAAACATTTTTAAAGTTAGCCCGTCGGTCCCAGAAGAGGATTTATTTTTTGATGGTATTAATTGTACTGCGAAGCTCTTCTAAAACTACGGGCGAAAAAAAGAAAATGTGTAAGTTTACATTATCATTAGAGAGATAAGAAAGTGGATCATGAGGAGGACATATGGTATTAGTTAAGTTTTTCGCTACATTTACAAAGTAATCGTTAAGGTTCTCAGGTGAGGTAGAGATATTGCTAGACGAAGAAGCTTTGTTTTTGATGGGATTGAATTTTTAAAGCAAGAAAACATCGACTTGTTGGACCATCCTCCATACAGTCCCGACCTAAGTCCTAACGACATTTTTTCTTTCTTCAGAAATTAAAAATGAACTGCGCTCAGAAGTTCCATCTAGAAGATGCAGTCAGCGCCTTCAAAAACGCAATTTTGAAGGTACCCAGCAAACAAGTGGAATAACTGCTTTCAGAATCGGTTCCAACAGATTCAAAAATGCATTTCTCTTCGTCGAGACAAGACAATAGTGTTTAAAAATTACCTACCCCGTACAAAAAAGATAAGAAACAAATATGAAATAATTTGTCGCTTTCTGTTTTGGCATTTCCATATCTATAGTTACCGGTACTAGTAGTTGTTATAGCGCAAACCTTCAACATCAAAACAAACAACTAAGTGACAGTTTTCAATAGAATTTATACAACATAGAAAGCCAGAATGTTGTCGGAAAGTTCTGATATTGAAAACTACTTTAATATTGGTACTCCGCCAGAACTTACAGAAGCTGCAAAAAGAGCAGATGCCAGTTTACTTCCAGAGAAAAGTAGGGGCCGATATGAAATAGCGTTGAAAGTATACGAAGAATGGTGTGCCGAAAGAAATCCTAAGAATATTGCTTCCGAGACAGTCTTGATGGCATATTTTAGCGACATGGCAAGTACTCTTTGGGCTACGTACAGCATGATACAGACAATGCTAGAATTAAGGGAAAAGACTAACATATCAAAATACCACAAACTCGTCGCTTTTTTAAAACGCCAGAATGTAGGTTTGGTTCAACAAATAAATGTATTAAAATGTTCAATTATTATTGTTAATCTTCTTGTTGATGTTAGATAAGTATTTAATAAAAATATTACAAGAATATTTTGCTTAATTAAATGAGGCGAGAAATAAGAAAAAGGAAGTGAGGGAAAATGGAAGAAATGTAGATGGGGGAAAGAATCGGTGGGGGAAATGGAAGAAATGTAGATAATTTGACACTTTCAAATTTTTTAAAAGTCAGTATTACATATATGTGGTTGTAAATAAAATATTATAGTATAAAATAATGTAGGATACACTTAAATATATAATATGGCAACGTAGCTTTAAACCAAAACTCTCATCGTTCCTGGTAGACCCTGGGGTCTGGTCTAGTCCCTATATCAGATAAACATGTCAACCCCGCCCCTGATTGTGATGGCGGCGCTGTTAGAGTACAGGAGCGGCGGTCAGAACAGGTAGAAAAAGGCGGTACGCGAAATTAATTGAACAAAAAGAAAAGAGAGATGATGGCTGGGGTTTAGGCGTTCTCTACCTTCGCCAGCGGTGGTCGAAGAAATGCCCCTCTGCCAGTATTAACTCGTAAAAAAATCTAATGCCAAATTGTCGGTTTCTGCGTCGTCGGTGTGAATGTTTTAATAATATAGTTTGTACGGGACGTGGAGAATGAGATACAGGGTGGCCCATCGAAAACGTTCCGCAAGACATAACAGCCAGGGTATTTTTTTTTTCGAAAAATCCAAAAACACGTCAATTTTGTTTGTGAGGGGGACAACTTTTGCCCCAGAAATCTTTAACCCTCTAAGCGGGGGTGTCATCCCCCAACTTTTTTCAAATGGGAAAGGGGTTCAAGTGGCATCGCAACGAAAAGCGCTTTCTATTCGGTCGAGTCATTTTGAAAATATGAAAGACTGAAATTTGAAAAGTACTTTTTTGCAAAAAACGCATAAATTGAATTAGTTAAAAAAAACTTATCTTATTAATGAAGAAAATGCTGAAAATGTTGCCCGTCAACCTTCATACAGTAATACAAATTATTTTCAACCCGTTCTAGAACATTCTGAAGAACTTGCGGGGTCACTTCGCAACAAACATAAATAATTCGTCTTCGCAGGTCTTCTAATGAGCCGGGTGGAGTGCTATACACTTTACTTTTTATGTGTCCCCATAGGAAAAAGTTTAAAGGAGTCAAGTCGGGTGACCGGGGAGGCCACTCAATTGCACCCCTTCGTCCTATCCACCGAACGGGAAAGTTATTGTTTAAATAATTACGTACATTTTGAGAGTAATGTGGAGGTGCACCGTCTTGTTGAAATATTAGTTCCGCTTCAACGTATCCAGGATTGTTCTCTATGATGTCAGTTAGGGCTGGGTCGATGGTATTTTCCAGTAAATCCAAGTACATATCACCTGTTAGATTTCCAGGAAGAAAAAAAGGACTCACAATATAGTTTCTAAAAATACCAGCCCACACGTTCAATTTCTTAGGGTTTTGTGTGTGCACCTCGTAAAAAACCCTGGGGTTGTCCTCAGCCCAGTTTGTTGTCGGTAGACAGTTGTGCCGATTAACTACACCTTTCAAAAAGAAAGTACACTCTCCCTAACCCGATCGTTCGTCCTTGTGGCAAGTGAAAAAATGCGTAAACATCTAGAAATAATAAGAAAAACAAGCAAATTGGTCGTAGGAATTTATCCTTATCATTTACTCTGATAAATGTTTAAATAAACTTTTCAAATTTGAATCCTTCATATTTTCTCAATGGCTCGACCGATTTTCAAAAACGAAGCGGGAAAGTATAGAGAATAGAAAGCCCTTTTCAATGCGGTACCACTTGACACCCCTTCCCATTTGAAAAAAATGGGGAATGGCATGGGGAAATCGCTTAGGGGGTTGAAGATTTTGCAATCATTTTTGGGACAAAAAGTGTCCCCCTCACAAACAAAATTGACTTGTTTTTGAATTTTCTGAAAAAAAAATACCCTGGCCGTTATGCCTTGCGGAACGTTTTCGATGGGCCACCCTGTATATATAGAGAAATTTCTAATAATGGTCTTTTGGAAATATTTAAATCCCAGAAAAACATTTGAATTTCATATCTACAGTATTTCTATTTTTTTAATTACCTGTCGCTTTATAAAAAAAGTATTTAGTTGGTATTTATCAAACGATAGTGATAAAAAATAAATATACAGGGTGACAATTTTATAAACGAACAGTATTTAATATTGCCTCTACCGATGATAGTATGAAAATTTGGCGAAACACGTCAATTTACATATCAAGGGGGACAATTTTTGAGGCATTTGTTGTCGTGTTACTTTCAACCCCTTGAACCCAAGGGCACCTACCCCTAAAATGTTAAATAGCAACCCCTATTTCTTTTACCATTTTTGTGTTTCTTATAGAATTCTACATAAACTGCATTAATTTTTTGAGAATTTTATAAGGACCACAAAAATGGTAAAAGAAATAGGGGTTGCCATTTAAAATTTTAGGGGCAGGTGCCCTGGGGGTCAAAGGGTTGAAAGTAACACGAAAACAAATACCTCAAAAATTGTCCCCCTTGGTATGTACATAAATTGGCGTATTTTGCCCAATTTTCATACTATCATCGGTAGAGGTAATATTAAATACTGTTCGTTTTCAAATTGTCACCCTGTATATGCCTCACATTTGTTCAATTTTGCTCTTGTTATACCAACTGTATTCTTAAATAGGTACTTACCTAATATGGCTAAGGCTTAAAATAGGGGCAAGAACTAGCTGCTGAAGGGTTAATTCATCTTTCCTATTTAGTGGTCCTGAAACAACAAAAGAAAAATAAATATGAATTTCTGTATCTAAATTTATTGATACTACTCAAATATCATCTAAAAATCCTGAAGTATAATCCGAAGATATCGTTTTTTGAGAGAAAGAAAGGTATTAATTTTTTATTTTGTATACAGAGTGGCGCCTCTTATACGCCGCGGAGGCTCCAAGGAGATCGACAGTTTATATTGAAAATATAGAGAGTTCTACAGGGCGTTCCCAAAAAAAGTTACATATCAAAGTTGTGTTTTTTGTAATAGAACACCCTATATATTAATTGATTTTCAGATTCTGTGAGAAAAATAAAGGTGAGTTTTATTAGAGAAGTATATGACTAAAACGTAAGGTTTTTGACATATTTAATATTTTCTAAAAATAAAGAACAATAATTTTTAATTACAATAAAAGCTACCTAAATTGGAATTTACCCGGTATAGCCTAATATGTAGTTAAATTAACTATTGTACTTTAAATCAAATTAAAACTTGATCCAAAAAGTTATACAGGGTGAGACAAAATTAATATTGAACATTGGTCACCTTTAAAAGCATGGTACTCTTTTATTTTAAATGGAACACCCAGTATATTATTCCGATATTCAATGGAGAATTCATGTCTCTTCAAAATACTATTAAGGTTGCTTACACCTCAAACAAAGATTTTCCTAGATATTTTCATTGGCATGATTTGATCTGAGTAGATCTTTATTATTTCATAAAATCTAGGTGGCTGTGATATGTCTGACGTTACTTCAACATAGCTGTTTAATTAGTCCAACTTTAACAACTAGTTATCATTTTGTGTCAGTTAAAACAATAAAAATTCTCAGATATTTGCCGAAAATGCACACTTATCCTGCATCAGAGAGAATTTATATTATGATTCTCTTAGTTGGTGAATGCAGTGTGCGTATGAGAGGCGCCACCCTGTATTTCGTCGTAGGAACAAACCTATTATTATCTCGCCTTTGACAACTAATATCCTCGAAAATATGGCCAGAACAGACAAGAAATAAGAAGTCTCGCTGAGCTCTCGAGGGAAAGGCGTAAAATATTTGACACGAATACAGATTATCTCGGTTCCTCTCCGCTGTAAGCATCGGTTTAATAGAGGTCACAGGCGTGGCTGAGACGCTGAGACCACGGAGAAACAAACTGGTTTTCGGATTTCGCAGAGTTGGCTTTTGACTAAAATATCAACCACAAATATCTATCGTGTATTGCATCGAAAATTCCACACCTGTAATTTTTAACCAATCAAAACGTGTTTTTTTGACAAATCACCATGGCAACGGATAAATTTTAGTGAAAAATTTTTCCTTGTGGACACCCAACAGCGAATTATACTGGAAATTTTTTGGCGTATATAATGACAGAATATCTTTTTGAGAGTCTGGTTTTTATTTTTTTACATGATAATTTTGACACATTTCAATTACAAAGCTGAGATGAAAGTTTGTAAACTGCTTCCATATGCTTGACTTCGATTTCCTAGTATTCGGGGGTGTCAACTGCTTAATCTCCATTCATTCTCTACCTCGGTTATGGTTTTATGTTCCGTTTCTATTGGTTTCCTGAAAGTTTTCTTATTACGGAACACGGTTCCTGAAAAATTCGGTTACAACTGTCACCAAACTAACCAGCGCGAGAAGGCTGGTTCTTCTGGTATTGTTTGTCAATCATTGTCATTTATGTGACAGAAATCAAGCAAATATTGGAAGTTCGAGTGAAATTTTCATTTAATTTCGAAAATTTGTAATAATATTTTATGTTTACCCCCAAAAGCAGCGGAGGTAGGCAATAAAGGTAAATAAATTTCATTAACAAAATTGAATGACTTTTTAGGCTTAATAGTACAGCGTAATGTTGATATGCAGGTCCAAAACAAAAAGTGCCGTTATATTTTTCCGTTTTCGTTGTCAGCCGGGGAACTTTCAGTGATTTTAGTGTTGTCGGATATTTTTATATGTGAAATAGAAATATTGCGTTTGGATTGCAAAACTAAAAGTGGAAGTTTTATTGCAATGTAAGTAAGCGTTTGTTCATTTTATATTTTACTTTTTTCATACCTACGACAAATATACATAATATATTGAAATTTTATAATTCGTTTTATTTAAAAAATGTTAGAAAACAAACATCCTGTAATTGACATAATTGTTATGTAATTGTAAAATCGCTTATTTCTGGGGCTTACTCAACCGGGTCTCACAATGCAAATTCACCTCAAATATCCATTTAGTTGGTCATTGGCAAGCACTCTCTCATTGTACATGAAAATAACAAAACAAACATTTAGTGATCTGGATAAAATTGATAATTAAATACTAAGACTCACCCGGGGGTACTCCGCCCCCTAACCACTGACATCACTGACATTTTATTCAATATATCACATTTCATATCTTCCATCTAATTCAAATATTATTCGGATTTATTGGTTAATAATCTTCAACAACTAGCTAGTGTCACCTGAAATAGTATAGGGGCTTCCCCCGGACGCAAATCTGCCGCTAAACAGATTCGCATCCCAATCGAATAGGCTAATTGGGGTAACTCACTACCCCAACGCCGCATCGTGTCAATCGAGAAGACAAGGGAGACCTCAAACTCTCAAGACCAACCTCGAAGGCAAGACGTCACACCACAAGAGGTTTTCTTCCGGTCAAACGACCCGTTGCCTTACAGTACTTGCAACGTTTATAGTCAAAAGACTTTCAACCCCCAAATATCAGCTCTATGACAAAACACAACACAACAGCCGGCCGGCATATCAACTACTGACTCGCTTTCGGCAAGCTAAGCCTCCTCTTATATCACAATTTTACCGGATCGTAAATGTTTACATTACTTGCCAATGAATCATACTATTTTCTCTAATCGACTTTAAAATAGAGTGTTTTAGCATTACTAGATAAATAAATAGAGAGTTTCCAAAGGAATGCATATTGTTTATTAGAATAGTTAATAAATAAAAGCATTATTATGACGAACTTATTTTCCAAGTTTATTCCATTTAAATGTAATATATTACTTTCTCTTAAATGTAATATATAACTATAATTAAAAAAATGTAAATTTAAAAAATATATTAAAAATATATACAGGCATTAATTGAAATTTTTTGAGTGCGAACAAACACAAGAGGCGCTTTATTATTTACTTTCATTTCTTAACATGACAGACGAAGTTCTAAAGGGGGATGTTTTGTGGTCTGGTTCGCCTGGTTTTGCAACGGAATACAGCCTTAGTCTATTTGGCAAGTTTTTGTAAAGAAAGTGTGACAATGACACAATCATATTTTTGCTGGTATTTTAATTGTATAGCTTCCTCTGGGCCGTATTATAAATTTTACTAATTTGAACGTAGTTTTTTGCAAATAACTTTTAGAAGCTTAGCAAATAACTTTTAGAAACTTCACAACCAAACCAAACCAAACCAAATGAAACAAAAAAATTCTAGACAAAAGTACAACTTTAAGACCTCTTCAAAAAACTCTAATACAACTTTTGCATAAAATTATCTGGGGAGATAATATTTGACCCTTTCAAAATTTACATGTGCTTTCCTATGTCTCATGTTCCAATGCACCACACGGTATTCCTTTACCAAATCAAAGACCAACCGTTCTTGAGTTATAAATGTTATTACTAACCCTAAAAATTTGTTTTATTTATATAGATTTACTGAGCAAAGAACATCTGTTAAATAAAATATTTTTGTCTCTTCGCGGCCTTGTATACTGGTCAGAAACCGCTATTACCAACAATATAAAAGCAATGAAAGTCCGGGACAATACACTCGGTAATTTATTGTCGAAGGACGCCATAATGTTCTTAAGTTATATCTGTGGTTAGTTAGGTTGACACTGAGACAATTGACGTTATTACTGCTTGATGGTACTGGCGATCAACGGTCGTTGCCTTCTTCAAATCAGCTTGATTCATAAAATAAAAATTAATCTAATATGATAGTTGATTTTTTGGACCATCTTTTCATACTTTTTGAACAACCATGGACATATTCGGCGCCGTGCTGACTACTGGAATTTAAATTTAGCGCTGGAGGTTCAGGTTGTAGCTCTGTTGTAAAAAATGTCAAGATGCCGCATTTATTTATTTATTTCCTGACATTGTCATTGTGTCCAAATATTAATAATAAAAAAGTGTTTTCTCTAGTAAATACTATCCTAGGACATACTATAGATCATTATTTGTAGCAGCATAAACAAGAAATAAAGATGCATTCACCCAAAACCATTTCAACACCAATAAATTCCGAAGTGAAAGCATTAGTACCACAAAAAACCGACTACCGACTTAGGTAGAATACTCTCTTTACTCTCTTTTACGACTAAATTAGGCGCAGCACAATATTGACACCGAAGTGCGACGAGAAAGTCAAAATATTTAGGCAAATTTAGTATCTGTTGAAAACAAGCGGAACGAAAGTAATTTGAGAGAAAGTACCGAAAGGGACAAGAAGCGTGGCAAAGTACCATCGTAACTCAACTCCCTGTTTGGACGGATTTTTAGACACTCTTCTCGATGTTTGAAGAAGAATGGAAAGTCAATATTTGCAGACTGTTTAACGTGTGAAAATTATATGTTTGTTCTATGTGTAATGTGCGACAAATGTAATTGTTTACAATAGTTATAAATCAACGTGGTTTAAGTAAGGATGCTTGTTTTACGTATTTGGGTAATTGCTCTGTAAATACTGTAAGTTTTTTCGTCATTCTCCTTGAATATAACTAATTTGTGCTTTCGTACTGCCTGTATCAAATTTTTAAAGGTATTATTATGTACTAGTTTGTACCAGCGACTTCGTTCGCGATGAATTAATCATTTGTAATGGTGATGATAAAGCAAAGCAAGAATTTTCATTAACATACAAACTGGATAAAATTTTCTCACATTTATGTCAGCATGAGAAAAGACAATATGGCAATATTATTATATAACTTGGTAATATTTCAGGGGTAGTTTCAT